TAAATTGCCTTATTATTTTCGACTGAAATTTGACTCAAAATGTGTTTCAAAAATCGTGAAATTTCGTAAAATGAGTTTCAATGGCTCCCATTTTCTAATTGTTTATAGTCAAGTACAAAATTATTTATTTTGTTACAAAATTACTACATTATTAGTATAATATTATAGGCTAGTAAAATTGGAATATCTGAGAAGGAAAATGCGGTTGCGGATGCTTTTGTTTAAAGCCGCTCCCAATATTTCGGATTTGTAGAGATTAATAACCCTGATGAGGGACGTGATAAGTGCTTCATTGGCACCCGTTTTTTAATTGTTTATAGTCGAATACAATTTTTTCTATTTTGGTACAAAATTAGTACATAATTAGTAGATAATGTTAGGCTAGTTGATTTTGAATTTATGAGAAGTGGGGTTGCTAGCTTGACGTCAAGCTAACACCCCCACTTTTGGATGTGTTTTTTTTATTGTTTATAGTTAAGTACAAAACTCTTTATAGTAGTAAAAAGTTAGTACATACTTAGTACACAATTATAGGTTACTTTATTTTGAATTTCGAATAAGTGGGGGTTCCAGTTTGACGGAGGTCGTATTGTGGATGTAACGAGCTTCTTCCCAACGGACATTATCAGCCAGTTTTTGCGGCAACATACAGTATGTTTTGTTCGGCTCGCAAACGCTCATATGCGTGTAGCAGCGAGGCGGAGTCTTATCGAAACGGGAAAGCAAACATACGCCTTACGAAGGGGCGACTTATCTCTAAAACCTCTCCCCTTGGTTGAGCGATCCCTGAAATCAGTTGGTCTGTGATCTGCGTTATGTATGAGCTCACCTGCAGGTTTTCGTTGCATGTCATTGTTTGGGAAAGATGAACATTCTTAAAACACGTTTTATTCATGCAGGTTCTTAAATTTTTTTTTTCTAGTATCATGCATGTGGCTAACACAAGGTGTTCAAAGTAAGCTTCTATTGTTAATCCACATCCGTATTTTGTCCACAGCAAACTGGTTGTCCTATCTATACTTTTTCTTCCTTATAAAATAAGTGCCTGTTTTTTTTCACTCGTCCAAAAAGTTCCATTTTTTAAATCAATAACCATTTTTTACATGTCTTTAGAACTGTTCTGTTCTAAGACAGTTCTTATCAATAATTTTATTCAAATATTACGCCACGAATTTCAAACACTATATGAATTAATTAATGCTCAAAGTTGAGACTACTGATTGTGTTTCAGAAGTTAGTCCCATTGCTTTTCTAACTATGGCACTCATTCTTTCGTTTAGGGTTGTACGGTAATACTACACACCAGATCAGAGAAAGAATATAAACAAACATAAGAAATAAAAACCTGATAAGAAGAAATTGACGTTCAACTGTCATCAAAACAAGAAATATTTATGTGAAAGAGAAATAAAGAATTACAGAAAAATATTCCAAAGGAAAAGATAATTTTACTGCAGGTTGTTTCGTTTTCGTAGGCGTATTTGCTTTACCTTGTGCACATGCTGCTAGTTTTTACGGCACAGAATATATACTGTTTACTTTCTTTTCTAATACTTTTCTTTTACTTTACAAAAGGCGTATTTTGGAAAATGTCATGGATTTATTACCGGACAAACTGATAATCAATTTTCCTGAGCTGTGTGAAAATCATTAACTTTGTAATTGATGTAATTAAGGATCCGTAAAAACTGGCTGGTTCGTAGCAATGGCACTTGTTATATGCGAAGTGGGTTCATGTGGGTTAATGACGTGTTACGTGCACCAGAATACCGATTTCAAGAATAATCTTGCAACCATTCACTCCCAACTTCACTTTCCTCCTCAATCAGGGGAACCTCAAGAAATCGCGGTAATAGGAGATTGTGGCAACAATCCTTTTCGTCGCAATATCTCCATAAACAATCGAGATATGGGAGTCTTCACAATACTTATAGGTTATTTCATAAGAGACGCAACGAGATGATATCAGCTAACGAACTGGGCCAGAGAAAAACCCATAAGCCACACCTTCAAAGACTAACGACATCATCAGGACCCTCAGCGTCAACTAGAGCTGATTCTGTTTAGAGATGAAACCATAAGTGCTCATACAAGAAGTACGTTTAGATTAAGAAGATTATTAGAGTACTGGTGAAACCTAGTAACATTTTCAATTTATTTTGAATGTTATTTGTAAGGAATTTAATTGACATATTGAATGCCTTTTGTTACTACGTAAAATTAGCAAAATCTATATCTGTGAATTAGTTTCGGCCATCACGGGTGGGTGGGTGCTGAAGCCCCCCTTGGATGCGCCTCTGTACTCCAGTCTATCATGTAAGATGAAGCAGGGATAGTTGGACCGGACTTTGATAACGTTAGTCGTAGTTACGTTACTTACTGTAGATTACGTAATACGGAAGAAAATTACGGTTTGCTTTTTTATTTAAAACGTAGTATTTATTTCCACACCAATTGCCCCTCTTTAATTCTTATAGATTTAGAGAAATATGTAGTGGGAAGTAGGGACAGGAGCAACTATTTAATTCTTTATCTCATTGATCCAGTGTTCGTACATTAGGTGAAAGTGGCAAATTATTTCAGTATTAACTATTGGTTCATAACTACTGTTCCTTTCCACCTGCAGCACTCTTAAACATTTTTGGAAAGGCACAGTGAGCCATTATTCCTGACTTGAGAACCAAATTAAAGCTCAGAAGCTTTTAATCAGTTCATTCAAGCATCACACACACACACACACACACACACACACACACACTCTCATCCACACAGACATCATTAAGGAAACACATTTTTTAGGGAGTCTCAGAACACGTTTTTTGTGTAACAGCATTATAATAGATATTTTTCGTAGCAAGAAATTATTCATAAAATGACTTTTTTGGCACAGATTATGACGTATTAGCAGTTACGTCACAAATAATTGCGTCGTTACTAGGCATCGGATGTTTAGGAAGATGCCTATTTTATACTAATGATAATATTTAAAGGCAATTAATATATGTAGATCAATTATGGAAAATTAAACATTCTGACCAACTTTTATTTTGCCTATATAGTCTTTTTTGGTATTTTATGGCATACATTCGTTTTTATTTTTAAATGCTTTTCTTCTTAAAATTTATGTATATTTCGTTCTATTCTTGGTTTCCAATTGACGTTTAAAACATTTTCAGTTCTACTAATAACATTAATTGTGTAGTCCATTTTTTTTGTCTCGACTGAAGCTGTCATTTGGGTTTATACGTAACATTGAATTTTTGGAGCCGAAAAGCTTACATTGTCGCTTCAGACCGCATTTCGTAGCACAAATAACAAAACAAAACAAAAACAAGCGCTGTGCTCTGGGCACTTGCTTGAGCGATGGTACATAAGTGAGCGCTGAGCACAGATATGCGACGTAATCGAAGCACTCGTGTCTCAAAGGGCAAGGTGACATTAACATCTCTCCGTGCCAGATGTTCTTCTGGGAAGTGCGCAGTGTAGGCCGATTATTAGGACCTTGTCAGGCGCGAGGTGCGTCTTTATTCTGCCCGCAATTGCCTGAGTTCTGCACCGCGCGAAGTACTTCACTACGCCCTCTAAGCGTAGTAACTGAGCTCAGTCGTGTGAAAATGCCAAAGTCACTCATTCACTAACGACTTATTCTCCCAAGTTATATTGCTATTTGATATTGGATAATTGTAGGTGTAAGTGGGGTGAAATATATTGATGCTTGTATATTGGTGCTTTTTACTTTCCCGTATACGTACGTATATACGGAGTAATTTATGTAGTGTAGGGAAAGTTATGAAATACTGCGGAAAATCGATTATGAGATTTCAGTGTTCCCTGAGACTGAAAGACTGTTTTTCTTCAAAAGTCTGTTCATCCGTCCATCCGTGTGTCCATTCGTCCGCCCGTCTGTCTGGTGTCTGTAAACAACACTAGCGCCAAAATCATGCGAAGGATTTTTTTCTTAAGTGAAGAAACCCCTGTCAATTTGGCCTGACTCGCAGCTCTGCGATTTTGAAAATCATTCATTAGGATTTGGAGGTGCTTTACGTGAAGCCCCAGGGACATTTTCAAATTTCTCTCAAAAATTGCTCTAATTTTTTTCTTTAAATTTCTTATAAGAATAAAGTAAAACGCACTTATAAATGTGATATAGTCCCTCAGTCAATAGGAAATAGAAAACTAACACGGGAAAGTCTGTGCCAATCTGTAGCACCATTAGTTTCCTACGACGTTAAGTTTTTATTGCATTTTTGGGTGCTTATTTGAAAACATTTCAGGGCCTTCTTAGGTCAATAAAATGTAAGTTTTTAGTGCCTTAACATCCGATGTCTAGTCATTACCCATTCTGCCAATTGTAGTGAGCATATCGTTAGGAAGTGGCGGTAAACCGCACTGCCGACCACCGTTTTCCGTATTAATGTCAAATTCCCGTAACGTTATTGTTGATGACAATGCTGACTTGTCACCGTGGTTGTTTACAAACATTTTTGACACAAAATTGTTGGACCGAATCCAATATTTTTCCTCCATATTTCGCTTAGCCGAGAAAAAGTAAAAAAGTAAGTGTATTAAAAACAATAAAAATTGGAATCCTTACCTAACGTTACAATTCTTATGAAAATAAAAAGACAGAATATTCTAACAAATGTGTATAAAGTATTTCGGAGCATATTTAAATAATAACAACATTTCATGACATTATACATTATCGTTTGTATTAACAACAGTTATTTTATACTCATATATTTTTGTTCTTGACCAGAAACAACAAATTCGCTTGAGATCATTGCATCTGTTAAACTGCCATGTGAAGTGAAAGATATTTTGCAGGATACAAACAACTCTCAAATAGTTATTATTCTTGGTACCGCGCAGAGTTATTTTAAAACATATTTCTTCAAATCGATGCATAATTAGGGTACATTGAAGGCGATAATTGTAAGAAGCTCCTTAAAGGCTAAATACATTTTTATAAAAAAAATTCACATAGACTGTTTTACAGACGCAATGAAATGAATTATTTCTCGACTTGTAAGATAAAATGTATAATTCACAATTCCGTTACTTAAATCAATAAATGTGTCAGACGTTTTGGATATAGCTGTTTGTGGTAGATCATAATTTCGTAAATAAATTAATCTTAAGAAAATTAATACTGCATTTTACAAATTTACAAATGAGATAAAATACATGAAAAGATTTAGTCGCGTATTCGCGAAAAACACGTTTTAGTTATATTTTGGTATCACCAACAACGAAATTACGTTAAGAAATGTTAAAAAATTGTTCATCTATTATTTTCACGACTTACGTTAGCGTAACTCTTGATCTATTGTAGGCGTACACTCTACGCATTCAGATTTTTCTATATTTGTACGAAAATTATCAACCCTTCAATGTACAAAAACACATAATTGTTCACAGCGGGTCTGCCTTCCTTCGCACGTTTGGTGTTCCACGTTCAGCTGCCGACAACGAAGACGTCAGGGATCCTGAGCAAACGCCGCAGTGTTGACACTTTGATACCGAGGAGTCCTCGTGTTTGGCTACGGGTTATCACCACGCCGTCCGCGGTGCTTCCCGTGCCTTGGCTCCGGGCGGCCGGCGTTGGATGGCTGCTCTGTCGCCCCATCGCCCGGGTGGCAGGGTGCCACGCCGGGCGTCGGGGCGCTCGGACGGGGCGATGGGCAGTGGAGGTGAGAGATCGCCTCGTATCAGACTCGCGCCCACGTGGCGGCGGCGGCCGCGAGCAGCAGGAAACACGCGCCGAGCGTTGGGCGCGCCGCGGAGCTAGCTGCGTAACAAAGAAAGCATAAGCAGTAATATCTGTTTAAGCCGGAATTGATAGGGACACGAAAAAAGTTCCGGCTTAGGGAGGTTTTCTTCCATTTATGCAAGGTTTTACGTAAGGTTGTCCTTTTACGACACTGAAAATAGTAGACCTAAATTACAAGACTTTATTATAATTATCAAAATACATTAACGTATAACGTATTTATGGAAGAAATCACCAATAAATGAGTATTACATACTCTTCATTAACAGCTTCTGAGTTGCAAATGCATGCTTTACTGTTTAATTTGGGACCGCTTGCTGACTCTTTCAATGCACAATGCGTCACTATCCAGTACTATGACTTTCTGATACTCTATCATGGCCTGGAGCAATGCGTATCTGGTCGAGGGGTTATGATTTTCAACGCGGGGGGGGGGCGTGATTAGAAGCCATGCCGGTGCACCTTCCCACGTTGGGAGAGTCGGGGGAGACGGGAGTCCCCTTTGGCCTACGCCTTGAGAGACAAGCGATCCTAAGGTGGAATTTTACGATGAAAGTTAAAACCCCTCTCCTTCAATGTCCACGACTCAATCGCGTGTTACAGGGAGAGGGGGAATTTAAAACAAGCATGCATATGCATTAATTTCATTAAGAACATTTCGCGTTTCTCTGTCAAAAGCATTAAATTCACAGGAATTGTTTAATTAAGAATTTACCCCATACAGGACATGAAAAATCATTCCAAATTTGAACCAATAACATTAAAAATAATTATCTCAAATTCCGAGTTTTACACACATTTGATCTTTTTCCTCTTTCACAAGGATTAGAATACGAAGAAAGCCCGCGATACGCAAGTTTTTATGCTATTGTTTGATAAGCAGGAGCTAAGAGCGCTAGTGGAAACCCATCAAAGTTTTAGGGTTAACACACACTGACTGATATTTTGCATTCAAAAACACCCACTGATTTGCGTACTCAAAAACTTGCTGTCTTCTCTTCACTAACTATAATCTCACACCCACTTGCTTGTTTGTTCCAGGCAATGAAATGACATTGGTTTTCGATAGATTCCACCTCCCACTTGAAATTGCAAAAGTTCAAATTTTTTCGGCGATTTTTCTATTAAAACTTTCAAGAAATAAATATTTTCCTGCGGGTTAAAAACTCTTGTTGTGGAGCCCTGGTAACGAAAAATTTGATAAATCTGGTTCCTAAACATGTAGTAAATTACATTCTCCAACACGTTGTAGAGTCAAATTCCATGTTATCTGTGACCTTAACATAAAAAAATCGATTGGCCGCAAAACTGTCAGTCTGTTCGCCTGTCCTTCCACCTTGGTCAATGCGATCATCTAAACCGTTCAGACCACAATTATCCAAATTTGATAATCCACAATCGATTTGCTCGAACCCGAGTTTCTACGAGTTTAATACTGAAATATTGAGCATTGTATATGAGAATGCAAATTGTTCAAATTCAAATTATTCGAAAACTCCAAAAAATCTATGACAATTAGCTCAAAATTTGTATTTTCAGAATCGCTCAACTGCCATTTTCTGAAGGTGTCTCAGGGCATCATCTGATTTTACTGCAGTGTCTCTGACCAGGAGGTGCTACGGTTCCAGTCCCGACGGTAGCAGGAGCTTCGTCACTAACTTGTCAGCTAGGTCGAATTCAATCGCTGTCTGGAGGATAATTCTATCGGTCGGTTGCTTGATCAGTGGGTTTCCCGTGGTTTCTCTGATCATCATCGAATGCTGGAGCAGTACACTAACAAACGGGCCACGGACCGCGAGTGGTCTTTCCTTTACTTATCCTTTCCGCACCCCTTATTTACATACACTTACACTCACGTGCACTGCGATCACACATGTCGGGAGCTGAGAGTTTGGCCCGATTGGAGCGGTGCCACGCTGCTGGGAGGAAAATCCCCGCACGCCGATCGACGCATACCGGCAGGGGATCTCGCCAGCCAAAAGGGCAAGATCACCGCCTCCTCCCGCGATAAAACATGCATTACACTTAGGGAACACTTACTTCAACATCCTTGGTAGCTGACGCGCCCGAGATCACTAATCTATCAAGAAAGGTTTCCCATTTTGAATGAAAAAAAGAATACAGAATCATGTGTCAATCTTCCGTAATATTATTGATGCCTCATTTCACTTCTACTTTTAGAGAATCAAAAAAAGAAGTGAAAAAATGTCTTTTAGACGCCGTTAGGTAGTAGGAAAGAAGGTGGAGCAATAGCAAAATGCTAACCTACTCTAAAGACGGTAAAGAACTAAATAACTAAGATTATCGGTGCCATTCAGAAGCACCAGAAGTTTTTAGGTATTTCACTAATATTTTAATGTTTCAAATTTGCATACTTTTTATTCCCGCAATTTATTTCTTCATTTTGTAACTCTACATTGTAGTTCACCCTAGAGGCAAAAAAAGCACGAAAATATTTTCATGGGTATGAATGCTTTCGTTCTTAAAGTATTAAAAAAATTACTCATAGCAATGAAATCAAACGGGGAACAAGAAGAGTAAACGTAGACTTTCTGAAATATTTGTCTAACTCATTTAAGTAAAGAGGCGTGAACAGTTTTGCTGATGTTACTGACTTTCATCATAATATTGAATTAACGTATATTTGAACAGAATAAGATTGCTATTACATATATTAGAATTCAATTGAGTAAATTTATTTCGTGATGAAAATAATCAACTTCCATAATTTGTTAGGAAATTAATTATATTTATTAGGATTATTTTCCTGAATTCCTTATATAATTTTAATCTAAAAATATACCTTTTTTATGTAAATGTCAATTAAATAAATTCGTTTCGTAGTAAAACTACATTTTCAGTTAAAATGTGGTACGCAATACTAAATTTATTCGCCTTATGAAATTTCCATCAGTGGTGCAATTCTTGCATTCCAATGCTCAGTTTGTTTTTCTAGAAACTATCAAAACCTCATATTCACAACTTGAGCAATAAATGGATATCGTTTTGTTTCTGCCCGATCAATTCTTGATAGGTTGAAAATGAACGCTTATCATAAGGCTCACCGTAAAATTTCATGCCTATTATTCTTAAGACACTGGACGATGAAATTATTTCGTACAGAAAAACATGATAAGAATATTATGATGCCTAATATCTCCTGGCGTATTACAGAATTGATTTGGACTCATAAAGCATCGCAGAAATGTTTACATTAGGTTTCTAATGTGTCACGTTATCTCGCACCACAAAAAAAGAAATGTAACCAAATGTTTTGTATCCCACACCTTAGGACGTTTGTAGTACTTTTTAGTACAAACAATTCCTGGCAGTAGTATAAACAGTAGTACAAACAAATAGCATAAACAGGATCACATGTTTACTCCTTATCACCCTTTTATATACTTATTAATTCATTCTCTCTATTTATTTCCACGTACTTCGAGTGCTAAGACTTCACATTACTTATTTATTTACTTTTTTATTACTTACTTACGGCTACTTTTACTTACTTGCACTAACTCTCTATTTACTCGTACTTATTGAAGATGTTGACATAGGTGGACAAATTAATTCAAAATTGGCGCCACGCTTGGAGCTCATTCAGTTTGGCAACTATCTGAGGTATTTAAGAAGAAAGAATGATACATTTCAAACTTCTCGCGTTCTAAATTCGTTCGTTTATTTTTAACCCAAAAAACAGCGAACTCTCTTACAAAAGGCAAGAAGTTGAAACTCTTTGAAATAAACCTTCAACTGTTTCCAAAATGGCCGGAAGATCGCACCACCTCCTGGCCTAACGAAAGTTTGCACAGTGAACTTCCTGAACTACAATTTTTGTCCTACTCGGAATACAATTTTTTCCACATAAGACGCTACGAGATCGCATTGTTTGAGAATCTGGAGCCGAGAGCAGTTTCGTAGCAATCGTGTAGAGAAGCTAAGTAATACGCGTATTGGACGCATTGAATGTTGGTTAATACTTTGGCAGCAAGCATTACCACGTGCTCTCCGTGAACCAGCGCTTCTAAACGCGGCAAAAACATCAGTGAAGCATGAATAACGAGTAGAATCCGTAAGAAGAACGCTTATTTTCGCTGTTTCTTCAATACTTAAAAATACATTTTTTAGAATTTGTTGCGTCTATATAGTCGCAAAGCCTAACCAATCCCCTTGTTGGGCGTTGAGCGATTCGAGATTTTGGAGAAGTCCTCCAATAATTTCTTCGCGGGAGTGATCCTTTCTTAACTTTGTCCAACACGTCTCGTCTCAGTCAGTAGTCAAGAGGACCGCCAGGTAGCATCTGCGCGTACGCGTCTCTCTCTTACGCGCTCCTGCGTCACTACCCAGCGACCAGATTTAGAAAGGAATTAGGATTGGGATAGGGATTAGAACACTTCAAAGGGTTGGATTAGCCCTTGTGAAGCAGCCACACTTGTTTTGTCGGAAAAAATTTCACATAAGGTTTTGAAATCCGGGATTCAACGTGAATCGAACACAGACATCATTGGTGAAAGTCGAGCGACTTCCCTCTCAGCCCCTGAGACAGCCACTTAAGCCAAGGTGTTGATCTTGTCAACTATGTGTCGTATTTTTCAGAATCTTCTCGTCTGGCGAGAACACAGAAAAGCGATGCACAGAACTTCTCGTCGCAGTTTCTACAAATGCTCTCCTAATCATCTAAGCAATATTTCGCAGCTTCAACAGAAGATACTATGAAAAGTAATTGAAAACATAATTTAATTGTATTCATTTAATTGAAAATTAAAGGTAAGTCAAAGGGTCCAGATGACATTTCTACGGACATAATTAAACTAGAAGAGGCAATATTACCGTACCTAATTAGAATATTTCAGGTATCCATGAACAATTCTAAAGTACCCGAAGTCTGAAAATTAGCTTTTGTCGAACCAATTTTTAAAACTGGTAACAAAACTATATTAAGTAATTATAGGCCGGTAAGTCTTACATCAGAGGTCTGCAAACTTATGGAGAATCTAGCTTCCAGTTACATTAAG